CTTGATGAGCAAGATAGATCACATCCAGAACCTTCTTTCGTAGTTCCTCGGGTATAAGTACTCTGTCGCCTTTGAGGATCAGGCCGTCCTCAAGCACTAAGTCACATCTGAAGTTCCAGTAATCTAGGAGTTCAGTCGGACATTCTTTTCTTTGTGAAGGCCATCCCCTGTAGATGGTGTCCTTTTAATTTGACCATAACTGGGTCCTGCGTTGATGTGGCCTTTATTGACTCGATGTCGATAGGGCAGGGTATGTCTGTGACGAAGTGAATCTCGTTGTCTGTACCTGATGTTGTCTTAACAAAGCAGTTTCTTGATAATGCGTCGGCTACGGGGATTGTCTTTCCTGGCTTGTACTTCAATTCAATGTCGAAACGTAAACATCTCAGCAGKAGTCTTTGTAGCCTTCCTGGCGCTTCTCTGATGTTCTTCTTAAAAATCTGCTCTAGCGGTGAGTGGTCGGTCTCTACAATGGTTGTACGTCCCAGCAGGTAAAATTCGAACTTCTCCAGACCATATGTTACCGCTAAGCACTCACGCTCGATGTTGGAATATCTTTTCTCAGTKTCTGAGAGTGCTCTTGAAGACATTGCGATTATTCGTTCATTGTTGTTTGCGTCAATCTGCCTAACCCACGCACCAAGTCCCTCTTGACTCGCGTCACATTGGAGTATGGTAACTGTGTCTGGGTTGGGGTCGTAGTATGACATAACGGRTACYGAGCAAAGTTCTTTTTTGATTTTGTCAAGTGCAGCTTGATGTTGTTCCTCCCACTTGAAATGCACGTTTTTCTTGGTGAGTTCTCTAAGAGGTGCTGTAAGTYGGGCYAACTYTGTTGAGTATCGGTTAAGATAGGTGACCATCCCCAGTATGGCTAATAGCTCCTTTGCATCAGTTGGTGTTTGTATGTTTCTTATTGCTTCTAKTTTGTCACTTGCAGGCTTGATTCCTTCTGACGTTATTGTGTGGCCGTAGAATTGGACGCTTTTCTTTTTGAATTGCAGCTTCGTTGAGTTTAGGCTTACGTTGTTCTCTCTGATAGCTTCAAGCATATTAAGGAATGCTTGATCATGTTCCTGTTGTGTTGAGCCGGCAATAATGATGTCGTCTGCAATGTTTGTGACGTTCGGAATGTTCCTGTACACATCATCCAGTTTTCGTTGAAAGATGTCTTGTGAAACGCAAACTCCGAAGGGTAATCGTTTGAATCTGTATCTTCCGAATGGAGTGTTGAAGGTACAGAATAGGCTTGACTCGTCATCAAGTTCCACGTGCCAATAGCCCTTGCTAGTGTCGGCCACCGAGAAATACTCCTTTCCGTGAAGCTGGGGTAGAATTTCGTCGATTGTTCTTGTGTAATAATGTTCACGACGGATGTTTTTATTTAGGTCTTTGGGGTCTAGGCATAGACGTACTTTCTGCTTTCCGTCGTTTGTCTTGCTTATATTGCAGACTATAGAGTTAACCCATTCTGTGGGTTCCGTCACCTCTGTGATGATG